GGGGGGGGGGGGGGGGGGGGGGTGGAGGCTTGAGGGACATCTGGGGTCCAGGCCTGGTGTTCACTCCAGGCGCCCCGACCTTGGATGAGTGTTCTCATCCCAAAGCCGCCGTGACCTGTGGGCAAGACTGCACTTATACCACCATCAAACGCCTTCCCTTGAGTTCAAGACCGGCTGTCCTCCCAGCTTCAGCGGCCCCCACATGGGGCTTGGGCAGGCTCACCGTTCATGCTTGTTGGCCATCCAGCCCTGTCCCAGGTTCTCCTTGTAAAAGCGCTGGGAGGAGACGATGGTTCCCGTCGTCCAGTAGAGCATGACGTTGGTCAGCAGATCGTCCAGGGAGAACTTCCTGGGAAAGCAGAACACGAAACCTGCTCAGCACTAGATGCAGTTTGGACGTCAAAGAGCTGCCACTTGGCATGCCTGTGCCAGGCTCTTCCCATCTGGCTTCCCTCCTCAGACCTCACTGCAAGGTGTGGAGTTAGCCCCATGCCGCAGGCAGGCTGAGCCCAGGGCACCAGACTGGAAAGCATGGTTTATTCTAAGTGTCTCGTTGCCCCAAGACCCCCTTCCCCTCCACACTTCTGTCCCCTCTCTCCTGCCCCTGACCTGTCCTCGCATCACCCCTCAGCCCCTGCATGCTGAACAGGGCACCAGCTACTGTGATGACAGGTAACTCAGTGCTGACCACTACGAGGCAGCATGTTCTAAGCTCCTGATGTATATTTAATTCATTTTTTCCTCTCAACAACCAACTATGGGACACAGGTACTAATATTATCTCCATTTTACTGGTAAGTAGAGAGTCCAAACTTGGGCAATTTGGTCCAAGATGCATACTCATGCCCAGCCTCAACCCTTCTCCCCTTGACTCTCCCCAGAGAAGGTGCTTCCAAAGTCACCCACCCTTCAGGGGGTGGCCCAGTTTCTCCAGGGAAATGAACTTCTTCCCACTCCTGGGTGTCCTGGGGGACTTATGGCACTCCTCAGAGGCGGCCTGGACTAGGAGTTCCTGGGGACAGGAACGAGGCCCAGCCTCTGGGTCTTCCTCAGAGCCCAGCAGATACGCTTGTTAAGAGAAATGACCTGAGAGAGGGCCCAGAGCAGAGCAACTAGGGTTCTTGTCTCAGCCGTGTTACTAAGGAGACTGGGATTCTGGCAATTGTTTTTCATTTTTTTTTTTTTTTGAGTTAGAGTCTCACTCTGTTGCCCAGACTGGAGTGCAGTGGCC